GAGGGGGGAAGGGGAGGGGAAGGAGAGGGGAAGGGGAGGGGGAGGGGGAGGGGGGAGGCCTAACTTCCCACATTTATAATGAACCCAATCCCAAGATAATGGCATTAATCCCTTTACTCTGCCCTCACGACCTAATCACCTCTCATTAGTCCCTTCCTCCCAACATTATTATATTGGGGATTAAGTTCCCACACATGCTTTTTAGAGGACACATTCAAACTACCGCAATGTCTCAGGTAGCTGTGATAGTTAAAATTGCCACTGATCATTCGACAAACATACTTGGTAAGCTTGAAGTCAGACCAAATAATAATAAGCCTCATGAGTGAGATTTTCCAAGGAACTATCAGTCATGTCAAATAATAACAGTTATCTGGCTTTGAAGTGGCTCAAATTCTGTTTTGTACCCTCTACAAGTTGCTAAGTCACTATTTTTCACTGTGATTGCTGTGGTTATCTAGGCTGCCATGGCACTGGGAGAAAAGTATAGGACTATGGCAAGTTAAAATGCCAAAAACCTTGCTGTTGTTACAAAAATTCAGCTATTTTCCTTTAGTAAATACTCCCCAGATTGTTGCAAACCTTTGGTTAATTTCCAGAGTTCTGAAAAAGCTGATATTGATGATTTTTGCCACTGTTCTTGTTGATTTTATGGAGGAGAGGATTGCAGGCATAGATCCTATTTCACCATTCTGGCTGATGTCACCCCACTAAATCTTTATAAATTATTTGTTTTACAAATAGCTGTACCCATCTTTGAACCCCTCTCCTACTTAACCTTCCCCTCCAAGTGGAGATTAAAATTTAGCAATGAGACTCAGATGGAAGCTTTTGAGCCAGCTGCCACAAACATTATTTAACAACTATTAGGTAAATCTAAATCAGGTAATGCAGAAATGCATATGCAGGAAAGTGAATGTGTGGGAGTAATTGTGCTTTTTCAATACCTGCCATATTAGTACTGTCTCTCTCCTTTTACATGCAAAAGTCCGCTGCCTAACCTCATAAAACCTTCACTGCATAAATATCCAGTAGTGAAGAAATGGCTGGCTCTCACCCTGCGGCACTATTGCTTCAGAAGCTTGGGCAATGACATGAAGATACTTCAAATTGCCAAAGGTCTAGTTGTTACCATGACAACATTAAATTGCTAATTTACAGACTTAAGAAACAGTCGTAGTTAGAATTGATAGAGTTCTTTAGAAGTCTATTTCTATTCCAAAATCAAATTGTTATAATAGGTCATCTGAATTACAGTACTTTATGTCGTCTGAGTTTTATTTTTTAACTCTATGAAAGCATTTAACTTAGAGATCTTTACTTCAGAGAGGAGGAAATGGAGATATTTCCTTCAGAGACTTTTAGTAAACACCAATCAGCAGGCTTGCAGCAGAGCCAAGACTCTAAAGAGGTCGCTTATATTTCCGAGAGATATTTCAACAGAATCAGTGAATAACAAACTTTAAGCGTGCGGTAAATTTAACAAAGCCCAGACTCTCAGAGCTGCAACTGCGCGGTTTCAGGTCAGCGTGGGGCAGAGGGAGTGATGGGGGCCGGTGTGGGGTGCAGCGGAGGAGATGGGGGGTGCAGCGGAGGGGATGGGGGTGCGGCGGCGGGGATGGGGGTGCGGCGGCGGGGATGGGGGTGCGGCGGCGGGGATGGGGGTTGTGGGTGTCTCTGATTTCCTCTTTTCTCCACCCCTATTTTTGCAAACATTCTCCCACGTCCACTCCCTGTTTCTCTCCTCCACTCATTCACCTAAGGGCAAGACGACCTAACTTCCACAGAGCCCAAAGATGCTTATTGAAGATGCTTTCGACTTGTTGAAGTTCATTTCAATAGGCAACTGAAGTCCTCATTCGGCATCCTCACCTCTCCCTGCCGGGGGTCCAGAAACAATCCCTGTCCCTGAATGGGTCAGTTTCGCTCACCTGTGCTTTCCTTCGATTGTCCACAGCGCCGTCCGAACCGTACCAGTATCTCGGACGAGGTACCCATGGTGCTCCCAAATCTGGAAAAGTGACTCCGACGCAGCCATACGCCGCCGACTCCAGCCAGCGGAGTGTTTCTCGAACCACGCGGTTGCTCGGCAACGCCGCCGGAAGTGACGGCAGCCTTCCCGGAGGAACAAGGAAGGTGCTGTAGCTGGCAGTCCCGCTAGAGTAGAGAGGCGCCTGCGCCCAAGAGCGGGTTGTGAGTGGGGCGGCCTAGCGGGCAGGCGCGGGGCCAGGCCAAAGGACTGAACCCGCAGGAGCGTCACGGGCGCCGGGGCGGCTGCAGACGGCGGGCCTGGGTCAGTGAGAAATCCCCGGGCCCCCGCCCTGCCTGCTACTCCCATCCCCACCTGGTGCGCGCCCCACGAGGGAAGACCCCCAACTGGGTCTCATGCCTGCCCTCGGGGTGGAGCCGGCAGGTGTGTGAGCCCGCACATCTCCTTGCGGGTGGAATGTGAGGGGCAAAGCCCTCCCTTCTCTATAAAAACCCGCAGATTCGTTGACATAACGCTGTTTTAAAATCCTTTGGTTTCTGAGGCACGGTCAGGACTAGATGGGGCTGTTTTTTTTTTAAATAGGAATATTAAAACTTAATGATATGTTTAGAACATTCATGTTAGGACCTTTGAGATATTTAAATTTCTTGGTAAATACATGACCACGGATATGTGTTAGGAGTAGCTGCTTGCTTGGTTTCAAAAGATCCTTTTCTAACGCATTGATGTACAGATAACTTAATCACTAACAAGTTGGCTCTGACATGTACACGTTATGCGCCAAATTGGAGTCTCTCAAAATGAAAGAACAAAACGATTTTAACAACGAAAGTTCTAACACATAGTCTTGTTATTTTTCTTCAGGTTTTCGATCAGATGTTTCCACATAATAATGCTGGTAAGTATGCAATAATTAAAATATTGTAGACAGAAATTAGTTTGTGCACATACAGCGCTAGTAGGTTTTTGGAAGCATAGCTTAAAAGGTGTTAAGAGCTGGGAAGAATCAGAGATTTTACTGTTTGCAAGCTGACTTAGCTAACACAGTTTCACGGAAGACACATTCATCCCTATTCATTTCAGGGATGAATTACTCCCAGTGGTAGCCAGACTATCAGCAATTTTGCCTGAGTTCCCTCAACTCCCAGTTCCCACAGGATGATGTAAAGTGGGCAAGAAGTCACCTAGATGTAGAATGTGTTGAATTACAGGAAAGGAGACCTGAGCTTAGGGAACCCAAATCTTTATCATTTGGACAAAAAAATATGTTTTTCAAGGCTGTCCCCCGTACAAACATCCTTGAGACAATAGTCTAGGGCAAAGGGCAGTCAGTGAGTGCCTTGCTTGTAAGACATGCAGAACCACCAGAGACACAGAGAGAATTGTCTTCCAACAAAAATTCTCTGGAATTTTAACAAAATTGGTTGTAAAAAGTATTGAATCTCATGATTTGATGTCAATTACTTGCCGATTTGACATGGTGGTCAGGTATAATTTGATATCATTTGACTTCAAACTCGAGATTCCAGCTCCAACCTGTGGATTGTCACAACCAACTCAATCTAGTTATGTCTCCTATACCCACCACTCTTTTTTCTTTGCTGTGCATTTAAGAAGGTAACATATGCACTCTGATCTGAAACAGAGTTTAAATTATTCTGAGAAGGAAAAAAATTTTATTACAAAATTAATGTAGAAATAGTGAACTATGGTTGAACCAACCATAACCATCCCACTGCACAAGTAAACATTTTCTAAAACAAAAACAGGATTATACTGTACACACTATTTTGTGACTTGCTTATTAATTTGAACTGAAAACCGTAGCTTTGACTGGCTGGATATTCTGTTATATGCTATCACATGCATCTCTTATTAATTCCCAATTCTTGGATGTCTGTGTGGTTTCTAATTTTAATTTTTGTGTAAAGTACATAGGATATTGTTACATTATGGAAACATTGCAGACTTGCCAAATAGATACAGATTGTGCTTTTGAAGAGAACAGTTAACTTTTTGGAATTTTAACAAATTGGTTTCAAAATAGATTTGCATTCTTAAAACTAAATCTTTGTGCATATCCTTAATTTTTGGAGACATTTTAAGTACAGCACTAAATTTCTGAATGTCTATTGACAATAGAATGTGGAATTCCTCTAGTATTAAGTAAAAAGAAAAAGTGGACTCTGAAAATCTCAATCAGCTTAACATTTTGATTTTATCCACTGGACAAAAACTTATTTTCACATAACATTTCGTATTTTGTTTAATCAAAACTTTGTTTATCGTATTGCCAAGAGATGATTTTCTGATATAAGGAAAGACAACATAATTACAAAACACAAATGTTAAAGCTTTTGAAATACTTTTATTAATTTTAGGAGTTAAGAAGTTTCCATTCTTTTGCTGCAAACCAGAAGACTCTGTTTCCTGTATATAGAATGGGAGTAATGTTTGAAAACAACTGGCTGGTGTTTAAAATTGAAGATTCTTGTGACTGTTTGTCCTAATTCCAATGCTGAAGTAAGATTGTCTTGGAAATACTAATTTGGGTAAGTATTTTTATAAAGGTTTATATTGAGTGGTGAGAAAAGACTAATAGAAAAAGATATGCCGGGCGCGGTGGCTCACGTCTGTAATCCTAGCGCTTTGGGAGGCCGAGGTGGGTGGATCACCTGAGGTCAGGAGTTCAAGACCAGCCTGGCCATCAAGGTGAAACCCCATCTTTAAAAAAAAAAAAAAAAAAAAAAGATGTGAAATTTTTTAGAGTGCATTTTCACATCAGCAGGGGAACTATGTTACCTCAGTCTCCTGCTATTTTGAGGCTAATAGTTCAGGAATTTCAGTAATTTATGGCTAATTAAGTTTAGGCTTGAGGCAGTTTTTAAACAGCAGTGAGTTACATTTGAAATTTGTTTTAATTATAAATTCAGAATTCTCAGAAAGCATGTTTAATTTAAAATGTGCCTCGTTACAGTACTAATGTGATTGTCAATTTTGCCTTATTTATTTCACTGTTTCTGTGGGAAAGTGAATTTTATATTTAAATCTCAAGAGTCAGAAGCACCTGGATTAGGCATTTAGTGATAAAAGGATCCAGAGTAACAAAATATTATGTACGAGCCACATGCACACAACAGGTGATGCCCCTGTAGGCTAATTATTCTCTAGGTATGCTAAATTAAGAGACACAGAATACTTAGTGATTCAGAATACTTACATGATCAAGAGCTCTATTCTGTCTTCACTACTGGGTTATAAACTGGAGAATATGTGTGGTTAAATGCCATGTTTTTCATTTTTAATTGATCTTTTTCTTATTGGTGAGGTTCTATGCCTTTTTAGGATTTCTTGCAGAAACCGCAAAATGGTTGTAAAGTGGATCACAGAGGTGGTGTTATGGTTAGCGTGTACTTTGAAACTAATGAATGTTTTTATGTAATTAAATACCTTTCTGCCAAAGTGACCTACTTAGTATTTTATTTTTAAACTAATGAGTAGTCATTAAATATTCTATTTTTTAGCACTATAATTTGATACTTAAAAGCATGAAGTTTGGAATCAAGTCAGCCTGTGTCTAAGATTCCAGCTCTGGCACTTTACTAACACCTAATCACTTTCAGATCCAGTTTAAGATGAGGATAATAATTATTCCTACTTAATAGGTTTGTGACAATTAAATGATATGATATTGTAAAGTTTTTAGGCCAGTGCCTGGCATATAGTGACTCTCAAAATTAGTATCTGTTTATACACATTAATTATATCCTTTTCTGGATATTCGATATAGTTTTTTTAATAAATGATTTTTATTCTTACCGTCAGTTGACCAGCTTATTCTTTCCTTTTCTCTTGAGATTTATCATTAATCACCTTCATTGTCTTCTAATGAAAACAGAGACACAAGTAATTGTCACACCATAAACAGTATGATTACTCAGGTGTATTCAAATTATTTAGCACCCTAGAGCTAAACTATCTAGAGCAGATATAAATAAACATGTGAAAACTCTTAACCAAGTTACTTCTATTTTGGAAGAATTAAATTGGCCTCCAGTTCTCAGGTGATTTGTTTAGAATATCATATAGAGTGTCAACAATCATTTAATTATAATATTGGCATTTAGAAACTGATTTTAAGCTAAATACCTTATATAATGTTTTTATTTCCTGCTTTTAAATTCAGGGGTACATGTGCAGGATGTGTAGATCTGTTACATAGGAAAGCATGTGCCGTGACGGTTTGCTGCACAGATCATCACATCACCTAGGTATTAAGCCCAGCATCCACTAGCTGTTCTAAATGATGCTCTGCCTCCTCCCACTACCCAGCCTCCAACAGGCCCCAGTGTGTGTTGTTCCCTTCCATTTGTTCTTATGATTCAGCTCCCACTTATAAGTGAGAACATGTAGTGGTTTTTTGTTTCTTTGTTTGTTTTTTGGTTCCTGCATTAGTTTGCTGAGGATAGTGGCTTCCAGCTCCATCCGTGTCCCTGTGAAGGACATCATCTCATTCCTTTTTATAGCTGCATAGTATTCCTGCATAGTATAGCTGCATGGTGTATAAGTACCACATTTTCTTTATCCAGTCTATCATTGATGGGCATTTAGGTTGATTCTATGTCTTTGCTATTGTGAACAGTGCTGCAATGAACATATGTATGTGTGTATCTTTATAATAGAATGATTTATATTCTTTTGGGTATATACCAAGTAATTGGCTTGCTGGGTCAAGTGATATTTCTGCCTCTAGGTCTTTGAGAAATCGTCACACTGTCTCCCACAATGGCTGAACTAATTTACACTCGTACTAATGGTATAAAAGCATTCCTTTTTCTCCACAACATTGCCAGCGTCTGTTGTATTTTAGCTTTTTAATAATAGCCATCCTGACTGGTATGAGATGGTATCTCACTGTGATTTTAATTTGCACTTCTCTAATGACCAGTGATGTTGACCTTTTTTTTCATATATTTGTTGGCCGCATGTATTGTCTTCTTTCCAGAATTGTCTATGTCCTTTGCCCACTTCTTAATGGGGCTGTTTTTTTTCTTGTAAATTTGTTTAAGTTCCTTAACAAGAAACTACATGATTCTTTTTTTTTTTTTAATTTGAGACGGAGCCTTGCCCTGTCAGGCTGGAGTGCAATGGCGTGATCTTGGCTCACTGCAACCTCTGTCTCCTGGGTTCAAGTGATTCTTCTGCCTCAGCCTCCTGAGTAGCTGGGATTGCAGGTGCCCACCACTGCACCCAGCTAATTTTTTGTATCTTTAGTATAGACAGGGTTTCACCATGTTGGCTAGGCTGGTCTTGAACTTCTGACCTTGTGATCTGCCTGGCTTGGCCTCCCAAAGTGCTGGGATTACAGGGGTGAGGCACCGCACCCCACCAGAACTACATGATTCTTATCAAAAAGGATTTTGGACAGATTTTAAGGGCAGAGTCTTTAAATATTTGGGAGATAAAGGCGAAAGAGTAGGTAAAATTAAAACAGTGGTGACATCAATGCCTTTGACTCCAGGGATGGTGAAACTTTTCAACTTTATAATATTTGCTGGATATTAGACCTTTGTCAGATGGATAGATTGCAAAAATTTTCTCCCATTTTCTAGGTTGTCTGTTTACTCTGTTGATAGTTTCTTTTGCTGTGCAGAAGCTCTTTTTTTTAATTAGATAGCATTTGTCAATTTTTGCTTTTGGCATCTTTGTCATGAAATCTTTGCCCATGACTGTGTGCTGAATGGTATTGCCTAGTTTCTTCTAGGGCCTTTATAGTTTTGGGTTTTACCCTTAAGTGTTTAATCCATCTGAAGTTCATTTTTGTATATGGTATAAGGAAGGGGTCCAGTTTGAATTATCTGCATATGGCTAGCCAGTTCTTCTAGCACCATTTATTAAATAGGGAATCCTTTCCTCATTGCTTATTTTGGTTAGTAAATATCTTTTTTAAAAAAGTTATTTTACATCTTGCAGGATTTCATGTTATGTTAAATTTGTTCAGAATTTTGTTTAGTACATAGTCTGTTATACATGACCTGTTATTTAATATAAGGATTATTGTAAATATTTTAATCTAATAAGTGTGATTGTGATTGATGATTTAATGAAAATAAGAATGCATTTTTTTCTGTCTTATAACTTCTATAAGAAACATTCCCCCAGGAACACGATAATACTATGAGTGTCCTTTTTATGTATTTTGTACTCAAATATGAATTTTGCTTCTTAGGGAAAATTAGTTAGGTAGTGGTCTTAATACTTAATCACTTTGTTTATATTCCTTGTTTTAGCAGATTAACATTTAGTTATGTTTGTTAAATAAATATTTTAGCTAGACACATAAACAGAGCATGTTTAGGGAATAATATTTCTTGTTTTTCAGGGTAATCCAAATCTTCCGGAACCATGAAAATTTTGCTGGTTTTTGACTTTGACAATACAATCATAGATGACAATAGTGACACCTGGATTGTACAATGTGCTCCAAACAAAAAGCTTCCTACTGAACTAAGTGATTCTTATCAAAAAGGATTTTGGACAGAATTTATGGGCAGAGTCTTTAAGTATTTGGGAGATAAAGGTGTAAGAGAACATGAAATGAAAAGAGCAGTGATATCAATGCCTTTCACTCCAGGGATGGTGGAACTCTTCAACTTTATAAGAAGGAATAAGGATAAATTTGATTGCATCATTATTTCAGATTCGAATTCGGTCTTCATAGATTGGGTTTTAGAAGCTGCCGGTTTTCATGACGTGTTTGATAAAGTGTTTACAAATCCAGCAGCTTTTAATAGCAATGGTCATCTCACTGTGGAAAATTATCATACTCATTCTTGCAATCGATGCCCTAAGAATCTTTGCAAAAAGGCAGTTTTGATAGAATTTTTAGATAAACAGCTACAACAGGGAGTGAATTATACACAAATTGTTTATATTGGTGATGGTGGAAATGATGTCTGTCCAGTCACTTTTTTAAAGAACGATGATGTTGCCATGCCACGGAAAGAATATACCTTGCAGAAAACTCTTTCCAGAATGTCTCAAAATCTTGAGCCTATGGAATATTCTGTTGTAGTTTGGTCCTCAGGTATTGATATAATTTCTCATTTACAATTTCTAATAAAGGAATAATATGCCAGCAATTGAAAAGTGTATCATCACTTAAGATTAGGTTCAGCAGCATAAAACTAAAATCCTAAATGCTAGAGGCTTAAAAAAAAAAATTTTTTTTTTCCTCTAACATGAAAATTCCAGAGGTAAGTATTTCAAGATTGCTGTGTTACTCTACCAGCCTCAGCATTTGGCATTCAACCCATGATCCAAGGTTGCTGGTGAAGCTCTAGCCCTCACAAAGCTCTCTGGCCAGCAAGAAGGAGGGCAGTGAGAAAGTTTCATCCCCTGTCTAAAGAAATTTCCCAGAAGTTGTACCCAGCACTTCTCTTTAAATGTCATTGGCCGGACTTAGTCATAATGCCCCACTTGTAAATTGCAAGGAAGGATGCAAAATACAGCTTTCGTTCCATGTAGTCATGTGCCCAGGAAAAGTTGTGGGAAAAAAGTACAGAATTGAGGTAGCTACAGCTAGTGGTCTCCACTAAAGGTAGTTGATAGGTTATATTTTTTTAATTTATTCCTGAAACAAGTAGGCATATTTTATTCTCTTAGGTATTCCTCCTTTTTTGATACAAGATATCTGTCGCCTATCCTAGATTGCAGTGACTTGATCTCTGCACATTGTAGCCTCAACTGCCCAGACTAGTGATTCTCGCACCTCAGCTTCCTGAGGAGATAGGACTACAGGCTCACGCCACCATGCTGGCTAATGTTTAGTTATTTTTTTGTAGAGATGAGGTCTCACTACTTTGCGCAGCTTGATCTCAAAATCTTGGATTCAGGTGAACCTCCTGCCTCGGCCTCCCAAAGTGCTGGGATTACAGGCATGAGCCTGTTTATTTTAAAAGTATATCCAGTAGTTACAGATCTTTAAAAATAAAGCCTGATGCTTTATTTACGTAAGAATAAAAGGCTGCCAAATTTATATAATATCCTCCAAAATCAGTGTATTTTAAAGGTAGGGATGGACTATCTATTGAAGTTTTCATCAATTTCAGGCTTTCCTTTTGAAATGAAGTACATGTTAATGTCCTTCAAATATTCTAACTTTATATCATAGCACCATGGACAACTACAGTTTGCTAGTTTAATCTGTGTTGTTTTTATTTGGCAGTGCAGTCTTGAGCAATTCAATACTGTGTATAATTTGTAGGAATACTCAATATTTAAGACTTTTATATGGGGATATTAGTAAAATATCGACTGATCTAAAACATTTCCTAAATCCATGCTAATTTCTAGATTCACGTTTTAGCCATAAAAATGCAGTATTTGGCCAGGTGTGGTGGCTTACGCCTGTAATCCCAGCACTTTGGGAGGTCGAGGCAGGCAGATCACGAGGTCAGGAGTTCAAGACCAGCCTGGCCAACATGGTAAAACCCCATCTCTACTAAAAATACAAAAAGTAGCTGGGCATGGTGACGCATTCCTGTAATCGCAGCTACTCCAGAGGCTCAGGCAGGAGCATTGCTTGAACCGGTACCCGGGAGGCAGAGGTTGCAATGAACCAAGATCGTGCCACTGCACTCCAGCCTGGGCTATAGAGTGAGACACCATCTCAAAAAAAAAAAAAAAAAAGCAAAAAAAAGGCAGTATTTAATAATACTGTATTTTCCAAATTATGGGAAGTGCCAGAAATAGAAATATTCAATATAATTAGTAATCTCTAATCTTTTTTCTTTGTTTTGCTTTAGGTTTGATTATGTTGAAACACATCTGTGTTTCAGATGTGTTCAGAGCTGAGATCACAGCTGAGGCCCCGCTGAAGCAGGGTTCACTTCCACGATAACAATGTTGTTGGCAGTATTCAGTTCCTAGCAAACCTTTGGAACAAGAATCTGTTTTCTTGCTGCCAAAGCTCATGTGATTCCTGGTCCACGCCACATGGTGGGGCTGGGGGCCCATTGGAGGCTACCTGCCAAGGCGTGGGATGGGGGGGTTCTGCCAGCTGGCTAGAAACCACCCTTAATTTCTTGCCATGTGGCCCTCTCCAAAGGCTGGACATAAAAAAGTAGGCTGAGCACAATGGCTCACACCTGTAATCCAGTAGTTTGGGAAGCAAAGGCAGGAGAATCGCTTGAGGCCAGGAGTTGAAGACTAGCCTGGGCAGTATAGGGAGATCCCATCTCTACAATAAATAAAAATAAAGGCTTTCATTTATGATAATGATGGACCAAGAAATTTGTCCTAGATCTTCTCTGAGAACATCGAGAAAAGCTGGCAGCTGAACAAAAATTTTAAAACATCTGGGCTGGGTGTGGTGGCTGACACCTTTAATCCCAGCACTTTGGGAGGCCAAGGCGAGGGGATCACTTGATCCCAGGAGTTTGAGAACAGCAACAGCAATATAGGGAGACCCCATCTCTAAAATAAAAAGGCAAACTAAAAATAAATTAATTAAAAACACCTGAGCTGGCAACAATGAAGAGTTCCTAAGGAAACAGAAACTTTGGTAGGGGAGCTGTTTTCCCCTGTCTTGGCCAATTCTGTAAGTGGTAAGTGATTGCTGAGATGTTGAACGGCCATTTTGGTAACCTTATGGGACAAGGAAGAGGGACCTGCACTGGCAAACCCTTTCCCTTACTTGGAGTGAGGATCCCAAATGACTACTCATTAGGAGTAACAATGGTCCAGAGGTAAGCAGGCCTTCAAAGAGATGGCAGCCCAGCTTCAAATACCCTCAGTCTCTGAAATTTGACTGAGGTTACCTAAGATTTTTAGAGCTCCCAGATGCATGGCAGAAGCAAATCTACATTTGCTTTTCAGGAACAAATTAACATCCTAGGTGTGGCAGACGCTAAAGTGGCCACTATAATCCCTGTCCCTTGGTATTCCTTGTGTGGAGGGAGACTCTTATGACTTGATTCTAATCCATAGACTACCATGAAGATGATGAGATGGACATGATTACACCAAATTCTAATATCCATCTTATTAAGAGACTCCTTGTTGACTTTGAAGAAGCAACTGCCATGCTGTAAACCAGCCTTTGGAGACGGCCTCATGGCCAGAAACTAAGGGTGGCCTCTGGCCAGTAGTCAACAAGAAAACAGATCCTTGTTCCAGTAATGTGCTAGGAACTGAAGATTGCCAACAACTGTGTTGTTTTGGAAGTGAATCCTGCTTGCCTGGAGCCTTAGCTGAGACCTCAGCCCTGGCTAACACCTTAATTGCAGCCTTTTGAGACCAGGAAACAAAGAAGTCAGCTAGTCTGTGCTTGGACTGCTGACCCACAGAACCTGTGAGATAACAAATGTGTGTTGTTCTTAAGACACTAGATTTGTGGTAATATTGTTACATAGCAGTAGAAAACTAGGCATCAAAATAAATCTATAAATAGTTTTGCAGGTACACTGTAGAACACACAATAAAAAGAAGCCACACAAAGAGGCATGATTGAACACCAGCAGAAACTTCTATTTAAACATCTGTAGGGACCTCTAGATATTGGAGTTTTCAGAGACAAACTTCTAAAAAAAAAATTACAAGAAATTTGGCAAAGAATTGAAAATTATATTCAAAATGAAAAAAGATGGGAGGAGTAAGTTCTAGCATTCTTTAACACTGTAGGATAACTATAGTTAACAATAATATATATTTCCAAATAGAGGATACTGAATGTTCCCAACACAAATGATAAATGTTTGAGTTGAAGAATATGCTAATTTCCCTGATCTAATCATTACTGTATCGAAATATCTCCATATATGCCATAAGTATGTACAGTTTTTTGTGGCAATTAAAATTTTTTTAAAGGAAATACTAGAACTGAAAATTAGCATGATTGAAATTAGGAGTTTGATGGACAGATTTGACAGGACAGGCATAGCTGAAAAAAGAATTGGTGAATGAATACAAGTTAGAAGAAAAAATCCAGAATGATGCAGAGAGACAAAATAATAAAAATACAAAAGTTGAGACACAGATTTTGTAAGAATATCTAATAGAGGAAATTTATGTCCCAGGAGAGGAGAAAGAAAATGAAACATAAGCAATAGTTTAAGAGATAATTATCAAAAACCTTACAAAATTGAAAGATAGATCCTAAGGCAGGACTTGGGTAAAACAACAACAATGAAAGAATACAAAACATATTATAAAAACGTTTTTAAAACAAAACTGAGAGACATCAAACTTCAGATTCAAGAACCCTTATAAACCCCAAACAGGATAATAAATAAAATGAAAACCACATGAAATCACACCATTGTGAAACTGCTGATAACCAAAGATGGAAAAAGCATAAAGCAGCCAAAGAAAAAAATATTACTTTGAAAGGAGCAACAATTAAGCTAATAGCTTGTATTTTTTTCTTTCTTAAATGCCAATAATGAAACTATCCAGACCTGGAGTTTTCTCTGTTGAAAGCTTTTAACCATGAATTCCATTTCTTTTATAGATATAGGACTATTCAATTGCGTAGTTTTTTTGAGTAAGCTTTGGTAGTTTGTGTTTTTATCTATTATCATTAAATATTATCTATTGCTACATAATAAATTACTTCAAAACTTAACAGCTTGGAACAATAAACAGTTATCTCACAGTTTCTGTGGGTCAGAAATTCAGGAGCATTTAGCTGGGTAGTTCTGGCTCAGGATCAAAAACGGGTCAAGATGTTAACTGAGGCTGAAGTCATATGAAAGCTTGACTGGGGCTGGAGGATCTGCATCCAAGGTGGTCCACTCGTGGTTTTTGTCAAGAAGCCTGGGTTCCTTATCGGCTATTGGCAGGAGGCCTCAGTTCCTCACTGACAGAAAGGCTCGATGTATCGCTGATTGTCAGAAGACTCCATTTTCCAACTACATGGGCCTCTCCATAGTGCTGATCAAGTGTCCCTTAAAAAAACAAAATGGTAGCTGTTTTCTTGTCACGTGAGTGATCCAAGAGAAAGGGCAAAGAAGAAACTACAATGCTGTTTGTTACCTGTCTCAGAAGTGACACACCATTACTTCCGCCATATTCTGTTTGTTAAAATAGAACACTAGTCTAACTCACACTGAAAAGGAGGAGAATTAGACACCACCTTTAGGTGAATG